GAGGCACGTGCTCGAGGTCGGGACTGGTGTCCACGCCCTGGTCGACCCGCCGCGCCGGCAGCGGCCTTCGCTGCGCTGGCTGCCGACGGCGCCGCCGTCGAGGGTGGTGGAGTCGGCGCCCTGGTTGCCGCCCTCGGCGGCGCTGCGCTCCCGCCCGGGGCCCCCCGCGCGCCGGCGTCGCCGGGGCCCTCGCCGACGGTCCCCGAGGCGTTGGCGGTCGTCCCGCTGGCTGCCGCTGCGCCGGCCGCGCCAACCGCTGCCCCTGTGGGCCCCCCCCGGCGCTGCCCGTCCTGGCTCCCGCGCCTGGGCCTGTAGCAGCTGGCGCCGGCGTGGCCCCTCTGGAGCCGAGCATCCTGGTCGCCGTCTTCGACATCTTGGGTCAGAGGCACGTCGAGTTCCAGGAGGGCGTGCTCAGGCTGGTCGAGCACCCCTGGCCAGTCTGGAGGCTGGCGGTGCCGAGAACATACCTCTGGGTCTGCTGGTGCAGCTGCGAGAACGGGGGGGCGCCGCCCGGGCGACGCCCGGGTGTCAAGTTTTGCTCGGCCTCGCGGTCTCAGGCGTCGGCGTGGTCGAGCACGAGGAGCGCTGCCGAGGAAAGCGAGGGGGGGGAAAGGGGGAAAGGGGGGAAGGGGGGGAAGGACCGGAAAAGCGGGCGACGAGCCAAGTCATTCAACGTCTGGAAAAAATACAGCTCGCCGCTCGGGCCCCGCCGCCAGCCCAGACTGCGGGCATAAATCGGGCGTGGCCCCTCGCACTTTTGCACGACCGCCCAGGCTTGGCCAGGTCGGCGCGCGCGTCGTTGCATTTGGCGTCGCCGTGGTGGCGGCGGCCCTCGGCTCCGCCGTCGCCGCCGCCGCTGTCGTCGCCGTCGTCGTCGTCGTCGTCGTCGTCGCAGCAAACGCGGTCGCCGCGCGGCCGTTGTTGCCGTCTTCGTCGTCGTCGTCGTGGTTGTCGTCGTCGTTTCCGTTGTCGTTAGTCGTCGGCGTCGTCCCCGTGGCGCGCGCCGCCCTCTCCGTCGGCCGAGAATGTGAACGTCGCCTGTTGGTTGAGCCGATCGTTGAGCCCTCGGCCGCCGAGAGTAAAAACGCCTCCTATTGGTTGCGCAATGGGTTGCGCCCTCGGTGGCCGAGAATGCGCCCGTCTCCTTTCGGTCGTGCCATTGGTTGCGCCCTCGGCGGCCGACGCTAGACAAAATCCGAATGGTCGCGCCGGAGGTCTCGGCCGAGAATGAGCCCCCCGTCTCCTATTCGCTTCGCCATGGGTTGCGCCGTCGGCGGCCGAGAATGAGCCCGTCTCTTTTTGGTTGCGCCATGCGTTGCGCCCTCGGCGGCCGAATCAGCGGCGCGCGCGCCATGGGCCCTGCGCATAGAAGAAGGAGAGGAGAGGGGGAAGAAAAACACAGGACAGCACGAGGGCGCGGGACCTGGGGGCGCGGCAGGGGGGCCGGCGGGGCGGGGGGCCGACGGGAAAATGACGCGGCGGGGGCGATGGGGGGGGCGGCGGGGGGGGGGGGGGCCGGGCGGCGGGGGCGAAGACAGGGGGTTGCTGGGGAGAGAGCTGGGAGCAAAGAAGGGGGGGGCGGAGCGACGCGAAACGAAAATGCCGGGGCGGAGGGGGCGCTTTGCTGCCGGGAACAGAGGGCGCCGAAGGAAAGGGGGCCGCTGGGGGTGGGCGACGCGAAATGATGCAATCGGGGCTCCAGTCGCTCTGCGCAAGAGGACAAAACCGCCTCCTATCGGTCGCGCCGCAGGTCGCGCCCTCGCCGGCTGGGAGTAAAGCTGCCATTTGGTTGGGCCGCGCCCTCGGCGGCCGAAATCAAGGCCGTCGCCGATCGATTGCGCCATAGGTTGCGCCCCCGGCGGCTGAGAGTAAAACCGCCTGCTGTTGGTAGCGCCGTAGGTTGCGCCTTCGGCGGCCGAGGATAAATCCGTCTGCTGTCGATTGCGCCGTAGGTTGCGCCCTCGGCGGCCGAGAGTGGATCCGTCTCCGATTAGCTTCGCCGCAGTTTCGCCCTCGGCGGCCGAGAACGAATCCGTCGCTTTGCGCTTGCGCCGTCGGTTGCGCCCTCGGCGACCGAGAATATATATATATATATATATATATATATATATATATATATCCGACCGGTTGCGCCATAGATTGTGCCTTTGGCGGCCGAGAGTACAGCCGCCTGCTATTCGTGGCGCCATAACGTTGCGCCCTCGGCGCCGGCCGAGAATGAACTCGTCTGCCATTGGCTGCGCCGTGGGTCGTGCCCTCGGCGGCGGCCGGGAATAGAACCGCTTGCCATCGGTTGCGCCGTAGGTCGCGCCCTCGGCAACAAAGAGAAAACGCCTCTTTTTGGTCTCGCCATGGCTGCGCCCTGGGCGGCCGAAGAATGAGACCGTCGCGCAGCGGGTGCGACCAGTCAGTTGGTCAGTCAACCAGTCAGTGAGGCACCCAATCTGTCCGGCTGTCCGTCAGTCAGTTTGTCACTCGGAGCTTGCCTCGCGAGAAACCAAATTCGGGGCGCGCCCGAAAGAAAGGCGGAGGATCGTCGCCGCTTTCGCCCGCCGTGGGCCCGTCGAGGGTCGCCGGGCGAAGACCCATGATGAAGCGTTGTCACATTGATATGTCTGGGCCCCCCAGGGCCGCGCATCGAACACATCGAGGCGTCGGATGTCGGGGGGGGGGGGGGGAAGGGGCGATGAGCAGAACGAGGAGGAGGAGGAGGGAGGAGGAGGAGGAGGAGGAGGAGGGAGGAGGAGGAGGAGGGGAGGAGGAGAGGAGGAGGAGGAGGAGGAGGAGGAGGAGGGGGGGGGGGCAGGAGGAGCGGGAGGATGCGAGGAGGAAGAGTAGGGGGGGAAGGAGGGGGATGAGGAAGAGGAGGAGGAGGGGGGGGAGGAGGGGCAGGGGGAGCAGGTGAGGAGCAGCAGGGGGGGCCAGTTTGAGCCATCTCAGCCGTCTCGGGGGGGCGTGTTGGACCGCCTCAGCGCCGCGTTGACACCCCCGCGTTCGCCTCGACGGCAATGCGGGCGCCATTTTGAGCGCTTGTGCGAGCCTTGAGATGGCGAGCGACAGTCTCATGATTGTCGACTCCTTGCGCCCATCTTGCGACCGATTTCCGGCCGGCCGCGCGACCTCGCGCCACCGCCGCCGCGCGCATGGCGGTCGCAGTTGCGCGGCGCGGAGCTCCGCGGAAGGCCCCGACGGCAAGGTCCGCGTGGAGGTCCCGATGTCGGCGCGCCGCTCACACGCTTCGCGGCGCCATAGAGAGCGCCGCCGAAGGCTTCAGCGACAGGGCCCGCGCGGCGGCCCCGCAACGTGGAACCGACTTGGAAAAATATGTCTGAGCCATGCAGCAGCCACGCGGCACGGAACACATGCAACGCGTTTCCCAATGCGCGCGTTCGGCCACGCAGCCAACGCAAAGCGGGGCGGAAATCAACATAAGTAGGGCGGAAACAGCGACGGAAAAGTTGGGCGGAAATTAGCATCGTCGGGGCTTGCAGAGTAAGGCGTCGATTCCAGGCCCCACTTGTGAAATTGCCCAAAGTAGGGCGGGTCCGGACGGAGTCGGGGCAGCGTCGGTTCCGGGCGAAAAATGGCGAGGTATAAGGTCCTGGGAACACGTCTCCCAGAGGGTAGGGGTGCCGGGGCGGGATGGGAGATCAGGATCGGTTTCGGGCGAGAAATGATGAGGTAATTCCAAGAACGCGTTTCCCAGAGGGCGGGGGTGCCAGGGCGGGGTGGGGGGTCAAGGTCGGTTCCAGGCGAGAAATGGCGAGGTAAGAGGCCCCGAGAAAGCGTTTCCCAGAGGGTAGCCGTGGCGAGGTGGGTGGCCAGGGTCGGTTCCGGGCGAGAGATTGTCGGGACTGTGGTCTCATGGACACAGCTCGCAGGACCGCGCGGGTGTCGGGCGAGGTGGAGGCCATGGGGGGTCTGCGTCGATGCCGAGCGAAAACTTGTCGGGTGGGGGGTCCCAAAAACAGCGCTCCTGCGGGGTGGGGACTGCGGGCGGGGTCGACGATGGGTGGCAAGTGGCGGAACGTTTTCGGGCGATAACTTTTCGAGTGGGTGGGTCCCAAGTAAACAGCGCGCGGCGAGGCGTTGTCGGGCGGGAAAAAGGGGGGAGGGAGTGACGGGGCGAGGTGGTGGAGGCGGTGGGGGGCGCGAGAAATTACCGGCTCGATAGCTAATGCAGACGTATTGAAACGCAGCGTAGCTGAAGAGGTAGGTGGCGCAGCTGTTGTCGAGACGGATATCGCACGCGCCTCAGGGGTCGGCGGATATTCCCGCCTCCTCCTTCCCCCCTGTCCTTCCCGGGGTTCCTCCACCTCCTCCCTCTGCCATTCGTTTTTTTCCTTCCGTTCGTCGTATTCTTGATATTCTAACACCATCCTGAAATGGAGCAAATTTAGCCATCATCATCATTTTCACCACTCTTGTCGTTGTCGACGCGACGATTGCATCATTGTCAAAGGGGGCCTTAAAAATTATGTTCACTTCCTTGGTGGGCAGCCATTTTTCCTTGGCCCTCACTCTCCAATCCAGGCCCCTCCTTACCATCCTTCTGCCTCCACATATTGCTCCATCCCTTTCCTGCGCTCCTCCACTGAGACCCGCTGTTGCGAACAACTTGAGCAATCGCGAAGAATCACGAACCCATGGGTGTGCGGTTTCCTTCGAGCTGGACCTGTTGTCTGCGACTGCGAGGGTCCAGGGGCCTGCAGCAGGGCGAAGACGCCCCATGCGAAAAACACGGCAGCGCCCGATCTCAGGGCCCCTCCACTCCTACAGTCGGGGCCCTGAAGAAGGAACCCTTTTGGTTGGGGAGGGGCTCTGCGCTACGTAAGTGTTTCACAGTTTGCCTCAGGCTTTCCTTAGGTTTTCAATGGGAAATCGCCGTTTAACCTATGGAAAAAAAGGCGCCTCGTTCCTTAGTTATTTAGGGGTCCTTAGGTCCTTAGGTCAACGCCCCGACTGTGCCGCTCCTCAGTCCCCCCCTCCTGCCGAGAAGGATGCCCGACGTGCTCACGGACCTGCTGCCGTTGGAGCGGCGCGACAGGCCGCCCCCCTGGCCCAGCCCGGCGCGGCAGATCGACATCCGTGGGCGCTCGATCTCTTCGACGCTGCATGCCCCAGCGGCGGGGCGGGGGCGGGGGAGGCGAAGGAAACTTGGCATCGCTCGGACGTGTGCCATTTTCCTTCGACGTGGACCATCGAGGAGCATCCTTGATCATCTGGCGAAAAACCATGCACGAAAACGAAACAAAAAAACACAGGGAATGGACGTGCGAGCGAGGGCCAGGAGGGGGGAGAGGAGAGGGAAGGAGGAAATTGTCCTGATACAGCTGCCCTTCTTCTGTAGCGTTCGCCGGGCCTGGATCTGCTTCGAGACTCGAGATTCTGATCAGGACGCTTTTCCGCCAGAGGAGCGGAGAGGAGGGCAAGTTGGGGCGCTCGCGCCACGTCTGGCACCCTGCCCCGTACTCCCTGGTTTGGGCGTCGAGTCCTTTCCTGGTCGCCGGCTGGGGAGGCCCTGGAGGACCTGGATCCCCAAATGGCAGTTGCAGGATTTGCTCGGCTGCGAAATCCGACAGCAACGTTTTTGTACACTCAGGAGGAGGCGGATGAGCACGACGAGGAGGAGGATGCGGGGAAGGAGGTGGAGGAGTGCAGGTAGCAGGAGGAACAGGAGGATCAGGGGAAGGCAGCGGTGGGGAAAAGAAGGGGACGGCACCGACGTGGAGGTAATCTTATCCTGAAATGTGGCTCGTGTTCAGGCGAGAGCGCCGTTGTCAACGACGGGAGCAAATCACCGATCGTGAAATGTGCTCAACGTTCCAGCGGGAACACAATTCTAAACAAGTCGCGTAACCCCACCAGCCCATCCAGAAACGATGCCAGGCGAGTTGCCCCGATCAGGGACGTGGAGGAGCATGCAGTGGAATAAAGGGCTGGGAAGTTGATATACCCCGGGTGAGGATAAAAAAGGAATCGGAGGAGGAGGAGGAGGAGGAGGTGTGGGAGGGGGGGGGAGTGATGAGGGAGGAGGAGAAGTAGGCGGATGATTAAGAGGAGGAGGAGGAGAAGGAGGAAGAGGAGGAGGGTTCTTGGCGGTCCCGCGGGCCTCTTGGTGCGTCGTGGGTGCTCGGGAGAGTCGTTTGAAGGTCTCTGGGGAGCTTCTTGGGGACCTCTCTTAGGGCCTCCTGCGCACCTCTTGGAGCACTCTTGGGAGCCTCGGAAGCCATCTCGGGGCCATCTTGCAGGAGATCGATCAAATAATGGGGGTCCTCAGTCAGCACCGCCCCTCTCGAGCCCTTGAAGTCTCCTTTGGACTGCTTTTGGAGCGCTCTGGCGTGCTCTTGGGGCCGTCTTGGGACAATCGTGGGCTCCTTCGGGGGCTCTCTTGGGCCTTCTAGGAGCCATGTTGAGGCTTTCAGAGGGTGGTCAAAGGCGTTAAGGCGAGAAGGCACAACACCATGAGTGTCTTTGGGTTTGGTAAGGGTTTATGCTTCTTGGTGGCTTCCTTGGGAGGCTCCGTGGCCACTTTGGGGCGGTCTTGGGGCCTGTTGGAGCATGGTGGCAGCCATCGCGAGCCATCTTGGATATCGTATTCAACTCTTGGAGACCTTGTGAACACCATCTAGGGCCATCTTGGACGCTCCAGCGACCCGCGGCTTATCCCCTCCAGGCCCAGGGTGGGGGCAGGGGGAGGGGTCGAGCTACCCACACGCCCGCAGGCCGTCTAGCTCACTCCCACCCGCCCTCCCACACATGCGTAACACCCGGGATTCAGCACTACGCGTAAGAACGCCGCAGACACCACAGGTTCCACATGCACCAGACCCTGGAGGCCCAAGCGTGTCGGGCGCGCCAGGTGCGGCACGTGCTCCACGTGCGCCCAGTGTTCCACGTGCTCCAGCCTCGCCAGGTGCGCCAGCCACTGGGCACCAATAGGGGATCCACCTCCCTCCTCTATTTGAGACTAGCTCCCCCTTCGGGGGGCCTTGAAGACAACCTCTTGAGGCCATCTTTGGACCACCTTGGGGCGCGCTTGGAGCTCTCTTGGACTCACCACCAGGAGCCTCCCCCTCTGGGGCCTTCAAAACCGCCTGGTGGCGCCCTTTTGGCGCCAACTTGGGGCGTTCACGGTCTGGCTTGGAAGCCTCTTGAGCCTGATTTTGGAGCTTTCTTGGCCAATTTTGGAGCCACTTGCAGGTTTCGAAAGCTCATCGGAAACGATAAGGCGAAAAGGCAGCAGCCACTGTTGTGTCAAACAAGTCGGTTGACCACCTGCGCCCAGAAGACAGGTGGGATTTGCTGGCACCCCAGCCGTCCCTGATAAAGACGAATTCAAAATGGTCGCGGGGCGGCCGCGCATGCTCCAAATGTGGAGGCAGAGTGCGTTTTGCATGGTTTTTTGACAGGGATGGCGGGGGGGCTGGCCCTCATGGTGTCGGCATGGTTCCGGGTTGGACGCCGGCTGGGTGGGGGAGGGTGTGTATATTCATGGGGAACTGTGATGAAGACACCCTCCCCGCCATGAAGCTGTCTCGCCTACTCCCACCCGCCCATATACGTAGCACCTGAGCCTCAGCATATTCAGCGGTCGCCTATGGACGGACAGCTACTAGGAGCCAAGACAGGCCCAATGTGCGCGACGCTGGGGCGAGGTGTGCCACGCGTGCCAGGCGCGCCACGCGCGCCATTTGCGCCAGGCAACCCTGGGGCCCCAGCGTGCCAGGCACACCTGGCGTGTCAGATGCGCCACGTTCTGCACGTGCGCCATGCGTGCCGCATTCTCCTGCCGCGCCAGGTGCGCCACGTTCGGCGCGCGCCAGCGTGTGCCAGGTGCGCCCGCGCACGTGACAGCACACATCGGGACACATGTCGGCCCCCACCATCCTTGTCGAAGACCTGCGCAATTGCGGCGCGGAGGCCATCATGGTGTCTAGTGGACCTGCACACAGCAGGCAACATGCCAGCACCCCCGCCGTCCTTCTCAAAAACTAATGGACAATAATCGCGGGGTGGCCGCGCATGATCCAGATTTCGCCGCGAAGTGTACTTTGTATTGTCTTTGACAGGGATCGTGGCCCTGCGCACAGCAGGCAAAATGAGGCCCAGGCCCCTCCCCGTCCCAGTCAAAGAATCATAAACGTGCTCGCGGGGCCCACGAGCATGACCCAAGATTGTGCCCCAGATAAAACTTTGTATCCGTTCCCCATATCCTAACGTGGGTTTCTTGTTATTACTTTGACGCCTCCGGATCTCCTTCCTCCTCCTCCATATCCTTTTCTTCTCGGGCGGGGCTAGGAGATGGATAAATCCGTTCCAGAGCGTTCCGGAACGCTCTCAGAGCGTTCTAGAGAGCTATGAGAAGGCCGTGGCGTCCGACTCATCATCCAGAGTTGCCAGATGTCAGAGATTCCAGATGTATTCACACACGATGTTATCTTCGTCCTGGTTTCGTCTTGATTTCGTCTTATCTTCTGCATCTTCACTCTCATATCACTAGGATACGAATGCTCTGACCACTCGCACCCATCACGGGCCCCATCGCAGACCCACTCTTCTTCACGGGTTCCATCACAAACTCACTCTACGGTCGGACCGAGGTAGAAGATCGAGGTCGGTTCGGGGAGGTACCCTGATGTTCTTCGTGTTTGTTGGATGTGTTTGTGCTTCCTGAGGGATGATACCCTCGAATGTTGTTCGGTTTGGCTGGCGGAGGGTGTCCAGTTCTTAAAAGATGTCATTATGTCTTAGGTCTTACCGCATTGTTCCCCACGCAGACTCAGCCACATCACTTCCGCACTCAGACTCACTCAGACCCACTCAGAAGATTAGCCTCAGACACAATCTCACCCACACATTCACACTAACACTCCGACACGCGGACCCTTTCTGGTGGTCCACTGCTCACCGCGATCTAGCAGGCGTGGCACTTGGGTACCCCAAGGGGGAGCCGCTAGGGGTTGGGGACACTCCAGGATTCGCGCCCAGATTGGTCATCCTCCTCCTCCTCCCCCTCCTCCTCCTCCCCCTCCTCCTCCTCCCCCTCCTCCTCCTCCTCCTCCTCCTCCTCCTCCTCCTCCAGGATTGTGGGGATGTCTCAGGTGGTTTGCCCGTTCCTGCCCCCCCGATTTTTTTTTTTCCGTGGTCCAATACTCACCGCGATATGGCAGGCGTGGCACTTGGGCACCCTTAGGGAGCCGCAAGGAGTTGGGGGCACTTCAGGATTCGCGCCCAGATTGCGGGGATGTCTCAGGTGGTTTGCCCGTTCCTGCCCCCCCGATTTTTCTTTTTCCGTGGTCCAATACTCACCGCGATATGGCAGGCGTGGCACTTGGGCACCCTTAGGGAGCCGCAAGGAGTTGGGGACACTTCAGGATTCGCGCCCAGATTGCGGGGATGTCACAAGCGGTTTGCCAGTTTCTGCCCGGTAGACTTCCCTTTGGATTTGCGCGTTCATTCATTCATTCATTCACTCACCCCCTTCTCCTTTTCCCCACGCAGACGCACTCATTCGCACTCGGACTGACTCATCAGCACTTCTTCCTCACTCAGGCTCATTCATCATATTCAGACACTCAATTGCAAATTCAATCATAGTCAGGCTCATTCATACTTACTCGCTCAGACTCAGACTCACTCAAACTCAGACTCACCCATACCCACCAGACCAATTCACATCCAGACTCACACACTCAGATTCACCCACCCTCAGACCCACTCATACTGAGACTACCTCGCACCCAGGCTCACTCACACTCAGATTTGATTCATCTCGTTCGCACTCAGACTCACTCAAACTCAGGCCCACTCGTAATCAGACTGGCTATATCTGGACGCATCCACACTTATATTCACTCACATTCAGAGCCACTCGCACTTAGATGCGCTTGCACTCAGACTTACCCATACACAGACCCATTCGGATTCAGACCGACTATATTTCAAGCCACTCACACTCAGGCTCAATCGTACCTGGATCCCACTCACACTCCGACACGGTCACACTCAGATCACCCACGCTCATATTCACTCGCAGTAAGGCTCACACACAAATAGATACTGCGATACAGACGGCATGGCACTTGGGCACCCCAAATGCAAGCAGGCGCCGCGAGTAGCACGCCAGAGAGCGGGCGTAACCTTAGTTGCCGCGGGGAGAACGGCAAGAGGAATTCCACCTCGCTCTTCCACTTGTGTTTCCTTCGTCTCTCCTGAAAGGTGCCTACAGGAGGAGGACGTCACTGAGGTCGTTGCTGTCGTTGTCGTCGTTGCCGCGCCTGTCGTCCAACCGGAATCGCTCTTACACCCAGATACTCAGAGACAGAGCTCCTCAGCGAGGCGTGACAAGAGTCTGGGATGCACATATGGGATCTCCGCGTCGAGTCATACGTTTGACAGGTTGGCGGTGTGTGTGTGTGTGTGCCATTGGTTCGAGTTGGCTGTCGGTTGCTTGGGGAAGGGCGTGTATATGAATAGGGAGCACTGGTAACCCTTCCCTGGAGGGGAAGAGGCGGGCTTGGAAGAGGAAACTCGCCAAACCACACACGGCTTAAAAGGCTGTTTGGCTTTTTGACAGAATCGGCACGTTCCGACATGCATATGCTTGTTTATATTCACGGGACTTAAGACCAGAGGAAAAACGAAGTCCACGGGTGCTCCTCTTGGGGACCATCTGGGGGCCCCTGTTGGCCAGCCGTTTCGGGCATTCTTGGGCGCTTGCTGGCGGCCTCGGGTGTCCTTCGGGGGCGGAGGGCACGACGTGCCAGCTCGAGCTGCCCCTGTTGAGGGCCTCCCCGTGGAGCACCTTGCGCGACTCTTGGGCCGTTTTGGCGCCCTTGTGGGCCGTTGTGGGGCTCTGTTTGGGAATTCTTGGGCGGTCCCGGAGCGATGTTGGAGGCCTGTCGAGCAGTTTGGGATGCTGTAGAGACCGAAGGGGCGAACATGCTAAGCATCGACGTTTTCTTCAGGGTGCCGGACGACTGTTGCCTCTTGGGGCAGTCCCAGCGTTTATGAGTCGTTTTTGACAGTTTTGGGGCCCTTCCGACGACCGAGAGTTATCAAAGATCAGGCAGGGCGTTCTGCAGGATGGATTCTGAGTGGATTCGGTGTTTTTTCCATCCGGGGCGTGGATTTGTGCATGGATTCTGCGGCGCGAGCTATAGAACATAACAAATAATAGCGGGTACGGATTCCTGTGTGGATTATGTGTGCACTTCTCCCATTGCAAAGCCATGTAAAATCACATGGTATCCAGGCGCTGGAAAGGGGGAAATCCATGCGGAATCAGGCTTAAATTCATGCGATAATCCATGCGAGTATGCTATGCATAGACAGCGGTGGTCAGCAACGAGAAGCCAGCAAAATTATTCCATGCAGCGCGTCTGCAGGATGTCTTGCCTGACAACAAACATTCGTGATATTTTTTCACGACGCGAGAGAGTCTAGATTCGGGGATTGAAGTCGGCCCGCTTATCCTGGAGCGCGTTTTGGGCCAGAATCTCGAGGCGAATCAAGCCGTTGCGACGAGGGCGCCCCAGGAACCCGAGCAACCTAGACTGAAGGTCTCTGGTCTCTGTGATCTTGGAACGTCGACTTCCGACGATGTGTGGGGGGGTCCTTTCTAATGTTTATTTGTTGTTTGCTTTTCCAATGCTCTGTGGCCGAAAAGTTCCGACACATTTGCACTGCCTTTTGGGGGGAGTTTTTAGTCCCAGATCCATGTCAGAGGGGCCCAGATGGCGATGACAGGTCCCAGTGGCCGAGAGCGAGGAAAAAAACGCATAGAACATCTGATCGTTCGAGATGTTCGAAATTCTCCCCTCGCCTTCGCCAGACCGAGGCAACCAGCTAGCGATGCGGTCGCCAAGACGGCCTCGGACAGGAGCGCGCTGGCCGCCAAGACGCCGGCGACGCGCTCCGCCCCCGCGTCCTCCTCCCGCGCCTGGCCTCCCTCCTGCTCCTCTGCTCCTCCTGCTCCTCCTCCTCCTCCTCCTCTTTCTCCTCCTCCTCCTCCTCCTCCTCCTCCTCCTCCTCTTTCTCCTCCTCCTCCGCCTCATCTTCCTCCTCCTCCTCCGCCTCATCTTCCTCCTCCTCCTCCTCCTCCTCCTCCTCCTCCTCCTCCTCCTCCCCGTCTCGGACGTGTTTAGTCCCTATATAGGTTTGGTTTGAGAGTTTTATTTTAGATGTGCAACGCTTTGCGATGTGCATTAGCATGCATAGTGACTGTACGGACTGTGGGCACTTAGGCTCAAGCTTGTTTTAAGCCTCGTGCTATCGATCCTACTGCCACAGTTGGTAGCAGAGCCTCGTGGAAGGCTTCAGGCTGGAGGGCCAAGCATGGAGCGCTCGTGAGGGTGGTGCGTGCCTGGCTCGCGAACTCGAACCACGTGCAGGCTCTACTACAGATGAGCGGCTGATCCACGGCAAGGACGGGCGACGACAAGCCCGACGGCAGCAAGGACGAACACAACAAGGACGGTGACGACGCTGGGGCGGCTGATGCGGTTTACCCGCGGGCTTCCGGCGTCGGGGCATCGTTGGCAGCGACGGCTTCAGGTTGCGGGTCTTCATCGGCACCTGCATTCTCTCTGGAGTTCTTGCAGGGGTTCAAGGCGATGCTGGGGCAGGTAGTCGCGGCGACTGCGGCCTCCGGTCTCGCTGGGCCTGCGGAGGGGGGGCCGTGCCAGACGACCCGGGCGATCCCTGCGCGAGGGCCGCCCGCGCCAGCCAACGCCCCCCAGTGGGACGATGAGAAGGAGATGACGAGGGGGGGTTGGCTGGCCTGACGAGCAGTGGCACTGCGGGCGTCAGTGATTATAACGGCTACGAGTGGGAAGTGAACGGTCGCCCTGAGTTGGACTAGAAGGATTGGAAGAAGGACGACTGGATGCACGACGCCGGATGGTGGAGAAACGGTGCCCCTAGTCGCGGCAGCGTCTCCGATCCCGCAGAGTGGCCAGGTTGGACTCACCACCTACAGTGGTGCTGGGCCACGAGACGATGGGATGCCAACGCGGACGTAGCAGTGCATCGTCGAGCCGAGAAGTTGTTCAAGGACTTCGACCGGGCCCTACAGGCCCGCTTCGAGGACATCTCAGAGGAGACGCCAGCGGGCAAAGGATGGCTCGACGCGATCCTGTCCCGCATGGACTTCACCACCGGCGAACGAGAGGGGCGGAAGGCTCGGCGCCCCTGCGGGATAGCGGCGCACGAGGCGGATCGTGACGGCAAGGAAGCGTTGATTCAGTTTGTGTCGCGGCGGGAGCCTCAGTTCCGCGAGGCCGAGGGCCACGACTTATGGATGAGTGATCGGCCCAAGGGTTTGCTTCTAGAACAGGGCACCAGACTGCCCGGTCAGGGGCTTCAGAATTTGCGCGCCCTGACTCGCGGCAGCCTGGATCTGGCCCAGGTTTCATGGGCGCTCAGGCAGATGGACTCTCCTGGGCCCGAGCGCCTTCTTCCCTCTCGCCCAGGTAGTCACGTTGTCATGCTTGCCGCGTCCGAGCATTGGCCCGAAGCGGTCGACCTTGGGACGGAGGAGGCCAGAGAGGCCTTCGCGGCAGGCCACGGCGAGGACGACGAAGGATTGCGATTCTTCTCGCCCTTCAGAGGCCGAGGCGGCCTTGCCAGCTGAGTTTGATGGATTGGATTTGAGCGAAGGCCAGGTCGAGATGTTCTTTGCTGGGCGAGAGAAATCCAGGAAGCGGGCAGGGAAGGAAAATGACGACCTCAAGCGTGCTGCCCGCAAGGACCGACCGTTCTTCGGCAAGAAGGAAGGCAGTCGCACGCCGCCGCCTCCTGACCGCCATTTGGCAGAGCGTCTTCGTCGCTCTCAGGACCGGCGACCTTCGCGAGATCGTGCCCTGCGAGATCGAGACCGGCCCCGACGGGGGGGCCCTCGCTGGTCTCGAGCCGACCTCGCCGAGGTTGTCAAGCGCAGCTACTGTCGCAAGAAGGGGCGCAAAGCCAACAGGCGCTTCGAGAAGCAGCGAGACGAGGGCGCCACCGCTCTGACCGCGCGGGCGGGGCGGGTCGCTTACACGTTTTCCGGGTGCGCGTTGGGGGCGATCCCAGGTCAGCAATTTCAGTGCCTCCGACCGGTGAAGCAGGAGATCGACGCGGAGAGCGCTGTGTCTCTCGTCGCTACTGGCCCTGCTACGGCGTTGGCGGGCCCAGGGGCTGGCGGCGACCTGGTTGGGTCTGAGGTCGTTGAACCTGGCCACCCGCTCGCTGGCCAAGCACGGTTTGACCTACGTGGCGGCGCCAGGTGCGCAGCGTTGCCGGGCGCGCGGCGCGGGCGGCGACGCGCGCCCCATCGCCGCTGCCCTTTTTCTGCTGGGCCTCGGCGGTGCGTTCGGGGTCGCGGAGACTATTGTCCTTCTCGAAGACGCGCCACGCATCCTGATCGCGGCGCAGGTGGGCCGCCCGGGATGCATCGTGTACCTGCCTTCCAACGAGGCGTCGAGCAGTCGATCGGGAGCGACTATCCAGATGCGCCGTCTCCCAGCCGGCCATCGGCCGGCAGCAGTCGTGGGCCCCGCGAGCTGAGGGCCCACCCCTTCCCGCCACGTCGCTCGAGCGGTGCCCATTTCTGACGGGGGATTATTGTCAGCGCGTTTTCTCAGGCGCCGGCCAGATTGACGAGAGCGGAGACGTACAGATGTCGCCATGTACATCAGCATCCTGATCATCATCGCGCTAGTTGGATGGCAGGGCTTCCGACTTCGAGCTACTTACTATCTGGAGATCTTGGATTGCGAAGGCCTGACGGCCGGCGCCGCCGACCCTGTTCGCAATGCGCAGCAAGAGATTACGAGGTTGCTCAAGGTCGGCTTGGCTGGAGCCCAGGGGAAGAGGAGTCCCAGGGGGGGGCGTCGTATCTGACCCGGGGGGGGGGTCGCTACCCCCCCCCCCTCCCGGCGGGGGAGGGATCAAAGGGAAGGGGCTTCCCTTCGACTCAATTACGAGGTTGCTCAAGGTCGGCTTGGCTGGAGCCCAGGGGAAGAGGAGTCCCAGGGGGGGGCGTCGTATCTGACCCGGGGGGGGGTCGCTACCCCCCCCCTCCCGGCGGGGGAGGGATCAAAGGGAAGGGGCTTCCCTTCGAGAGGTTGCTCAAGGTCGGCTTGGCTGGAGCCCAGGGGAAGAGGAGTCCGATCTGACCCGGGGGGGGGGTCGACCCCCCCCCCCTCCCGGCGGGGGAGGGATCAAAGGGAAGGGGCTTCCCTTCGACTCAATTACGAGGTTGCTCAAGGTCGGCTTGGCTGGAGCCCAGGGGAAGAGGAGTCCCAGGGGGGGGCGTCGTATCTGACCCGGGGGGGGGGTCGCTACCCCCCCCCCCTCCCGGCGGGGGAGGGATCAAAGGGAAGGGGCTTCCCTTCGACTCAATTACGAGGTTGCTCAAGGTCGGCTTGGCTGGAGCCCAGGGGAAGAGGAGTCCCAGGGGGGGGCGTCGTATCTGACCCGGGGGGGGGGTCGACCCCCCCCCCCCCTCCCGGCGGGGGAGGGATCAAAGGGAAGGGGCTTCCCTTCGACTCAATTACGAGGTTGCTCAAGGTCGGCTTGGCTGGAGCCCAGGGGAAGAGGAGTCCCAGGGGGGGGCGTCGTATCTGACCCGGGGGGGGGGGGTCGACACCCCCCCCCCCCCTCCCGGCGGGGGAGGGATCAAAGGGAAGGGGCTTCCCTTCGACTCAATTACGAGGTTGCTCAAGGTCGGCTTGGCTGGAGCCCAGGGGTTGCTCAAGGTCGGCTTGGCTGGAGCCCAGGGGAAGAGGAGTCCCAGGGGGGGGCGTCGTATCTGACCCGGGGGGGGGGTCGCTACCCCCCCCCCCTCCCGGCGGGGGAGGGATCAAAGGGAAGGGGCTTCCCTTCGACTCAATTACGAGGTTGCTCAAGGTCGGCTTGGCTGGAGCCCAGGGGAAGAGGAGTCCCAGGGGGGGGCGTCGTATCTGACCCGGGGGGGGGGTCGACACCCCCCCCCCCTCCCGGCGGGGGAGGGATCAAAGGGAAGGGGCTTCCCTTCGACTCAATTACGAGGTTGCTCAAGGTCGGCTTGGCTGGAGCCCAGGGGAAGAGGAGTCCCAGGGTCCCTTGGGGAAGGGGCTTCCCTTCGACTCAATTACGAGGTTGCTCAAGGTCGGCTTGGCTGGAGCCCAGGGGAAGAGGAGCCCAGGGGGGGGCGTCGGGGGGGGGGTCGACACCCCCCCCCCCCTCCCGGCGGGGGAGGGATCAAAGGGAAGGGGCTTCCCTTCGACTCAATTACGAGGTTGCTCAAGGTCGGCTTGGCTGGAGCCCAGGGGAAGAGGAGTCCCAGGGGGGGGCGTCGTATCTGACCCGGGGGGGGGGTCGACACCCCCCCCCCCCTCCCGGCGGGGGAGGGATCAAAGGGAAGGGGCTTCCCTTCGACTCAATTACGAGGTTGCTCAAGGTCGGCTTGGCTGGAGCCCAGGGGAAGAGGTCTCCCAGGGAAAGGGAAGGACAGAGACGACGAGTACAAAGAATGACGGAGATGACGGCTCGAACGGAAAAGCCCCTCACACACGCCGACAGGGTCGGCGGATTTGGGTGGTCGTGGGCACTGCCGGGAACGACGACTGCTGGGTCCAGCAGTTTCGCTGGGTCGAGGAGCTATTGGCCTCGTCGGCCAGGGCCCAGACGCGGCCTCTGCGCCCCGCGGGCTTCGCTTCGAATCGATCGATGGCCGCCGAACCTATCGCGACTCAGGCAGCGCCGACCGAGCGATCGCAGACACGCTAAGGCGAACCACTATCGGGGGCGGATGGCCACGACCAAGGGGCGGCAGTCGCACCCAGCCTGGAACCGAGCTGTCGGCCAGCGCTCGATCCGTAGCCATCGGCTCGAATCGCTTCGCGGACCTCCCAGAGGAGTCTCATTCCATGTTCCACGTTCC